AGATTCACTATTACAGTATGTGGATCATGGATTAATCATTTATGATCCACTTGTTCCAACGTGGCAACAATCCATTTATTTTTTGTTTTCTGCATCCATTTTCGGCTTTCCGAGAGCATTTGACGTTACTGTGCTTCCCAGGGTGGTGGAAAAGAACTGTGCCAAAATACAGCATGTAGACAACTGGAACATGGATTTTACTAACTAATAAGAAAAGCATTAAGGCACAGCGTGGCAGAGTTTATTGCTCCCATCACTTTCCTCCACTTCAATTAAAAAGGAATTGTTAAATATGATTGCAGGCACAAAACAGGGCTTGAAAATAGAAAATGACTTTCAGTACTGAATCACAAAAAATGTCTTATTTGTTCCGATATTACCTTTAAAACGTCCTCACAAGTACAGAATAGCTTCATAAATACTGTAGGAGAAAAAAGTATTGGGAATCTGAATTTTAATATCCGCAGGAAATTTATTAAATTTGACTTTAGATTTGTATTTTGAGATGCAGCCTTGCCCTTGATTGTGAGGTAACCATGGAAACCCCTCACTAAACCTAAAAGAGTCCCCTTGAAAGGCTACAGTTGCATCTTTGACACTTAATGAGCAGTTTTAAAACGCTGCCGAAAACATATTGATGCTTGTTTTTCCTGTTCTCCTTTATTCGTTTCAGCAGGAACACAACACAGGCTGTCATTTACTATCTTTCCTGACCTACTGTAATACACTCTCTCAATGCCACTGGAACAATGTCACTGTCTGCTCCAACTCAAAATGGCTCCTGAAGCTGTGTTCTGAAGCTTGGAAGTGCAGAGTGAAGTGCACCTGCTCCAGAAGGCTACAGGTGTGACACTGATATACAGCAGTGGTTCCCAGTCCTGGTCCTGTTGACCCACACACTTGTTGGTATGCATTCCATCCCACCTCAGTTAGATAATTGAAGCCTTAACTGATCTAAGAAGTTGCTTCATTGGAATTTGTGCATTATGTTTCTAGTTATAAGTGTGAGATTTTATTTCACTTACAAAATACAACACTCCGACATGGGCTATAATAATAATAACAACAATAATAAAGGATTTGATTGTGTAACTGAGGGCTCGACTGGAAATCACAGATGTGTGGGTTATGGGGTCCAGGACTGGGATCCAGTGATGGCCATCTCCAAATGTATCATTTGTCTGATTTATTGAACTCTGTTCTCTTTAAGATCTCTTCATGTAACATCTGTACCTATTGTTGTCTTTGACAGAGCATTTCAGCTCTCTTATAACTCTGCAGTTGTTCTTTGTGGCATATTCCTTTTTTTGATTCTGCAGGGTTTGGGTGTCTTAGAAGAAAGCAGCTTTAAATACCAGCCAGTTCCAAAAGGTAACACTAGAACAGGGATTCAAGCACAGACATAGAAGCAACGTCTGACGTCTTTGGAGAGAGAGGTTCTGTAAGTAAAGAGATTTGATATTTAAAAGACATTCCACCCACCGTTTTCAGTATCGCCGTGGGAATTGTCATACATTTCACATGCAAATACACAGGCAGATTACATGTGGTACTGCCAAGGCAGCCAGAGAAGATGGAGTCACGCTGGGCAGGCTAACAAAAGAACCTCAAAACCAGCATGAGAAGAGGGATCCTGAGTGGCTCAACCAGCAAAGAGCACTGGCTGAGCACTATGGTCCAGATCTTAGTAGTTCACACTTAGGCATTAGAAGAGTGTGACTGGGATCCCTAAGTGCTTGTAGTTCGGCACTGCTGGAGTTTCTCGGTCATGAATTTCCCAGAATGGCCCACACTTTCCTTACTTTAGAACAGTGACTATAATGCTCTGCAAGGAGCCTGTGAGCTAGAACTGTCATCAGTATTGAGCTGCATCTGGTGGTACTTCCCCTGTAGGCATTATGGGATAGTCATTGGTTCCAAATCACATGTTGTAAAATTGAAACGATAAGCTCTCTCCTAAAAAATAACACTTCACGAGGAATAACTTTACTCAATAAAAATCCCAGAATGTTTTCTCAGGAATCTGGTGTGAGAGGCATTGGCTTAACCCAATTGGCCAGGTGGGTGGCCCTCAGCCAATCAGGTTACACCAATGTTTCTTACATTCCTCGATGAAGCCAGGCCACCCAGGCACAGAGAGCATTTAACCAAGGAGCACCTGCACAGGTGGAGGTGAGGTAGAGGAGGGAGGGAGAAAGACAAAGGCAAGCAAAAGAGAGAGAGGGACTCATTGGTATTTATAGTTTTTTTTCCAGGAAGTGACATCATGGGGAATGAAAAGTACAAGGTAGCAGAGGTGAGGGAGACCTTGGCTGCTGTCATCCCTCCCAAACATTTGTTAAAAACCCCATAGAAAACAAATACCAGCTGAGGATCACTCTGAACCATTTAAAAAAGATAAGACATCATGTAACATCATGGAAAACGGTACCAAGCAGCCTAATACTCTTAAAAAGGTGTTGTTAAGACTTACAGTTTGTGCATTTAAAGGCCATGAGTCACAAAGACATTTTTGATATGCCTGCTACAGAAGTAAACCTTGCTTCTTCAAACTCTGCAGGTTTACTACAGTATTTCTTTGTTGGTTCAATCTGCAGTAACACTTCAGCACCATTTGCTTTGATATAATTACAGTGTGTTACTTGAGAGTGTGAAATACCATGAGCCAAGATTATCGTAGATTTCTGTAATGTGCATATGGTCATGGAAATATTAACTGTGACTGCGTAGGTTTAATTTTAGCTCTTTACAAGAGTCGCTTTCACCCCTGTTCCTGGAGTACCCCTTTCTACTCTGATTTTGGTTTTAATTGCTGAGGCTAATTGATCCCTTTAATTGAACTTATTGCTTGATCAGACCTTCTCCACCTGATTCCTCAATCCATTTTTTAATTCAGAAATATTCTGCTGTGGGAATGCTATTGAAAGAAATTCAGCAAATGGAGCACCATCCATTGGATCCTCAATGTATATTATATTTATACAATAAATATGATTATAATGTAAGTGTTAATGTTAAATGTAATTATTCTTCTGTGCAAAGTAGGTAGCCAATTACTCATACAGCACACAGGTGGAAATAACTCTGTATCAAAAACTCTCCCCCAAAAAATAAATCTGTATTCACCATAGATCTAAATCTAGATATCTCACAGACCTGAATGAAAGCAGCTGTGAAACCCGGAAAACATTTTATGGTTGAGACCAATAAATAACTCCATTCAAGCTCTTGTCAACAGATAAAAAGGGTCTTAACAGCCATTTACAGATCATTTAGCCTAACGGGCAAAAGAACTCAGTTGAAATGAAAACCAGACGACACAGGATCACTCCAGGAGCAGGGCTGATAGCCACCGGTCAACAAGACTTACAGTGATGCACCCTACAGAAACAAGCATCCAGCTCTCAAAGCCATGTGTGTGCCCAATGTAGATACAAGCCACTGTTACACCAACATCCAAGCTTCTCAGAATCTGGACAGGGGAGTCGTGGTTATTGGGACCAGCAGGATCCCTCGAGGACAACCCACAAAACTAAAAGTCCATGTTGTATGGACAGTGACAGCTGGGGAACTGTTTTACCAGATAAATCTTTGAACAGATGACCACCACCTTGGATTGGGAATCCATCCTTGTTGAGACAGAAGTTAAATCAACAGCTGTGATGGTCAGTTGGCCTAAACCAAAGCCATCACAACATGCTGTAAAAGAGAGAGCATTGGAGCACTGCTATGATCTTGCTAGTCTTTGGGCGGGAAGCCTCTTGAGCGCTTAAGGGTTTTGCTTCGCTGATCCCTGTGAAAGTATCCAACTCCAGGAGCACCCTCATGGGTTTGTTCCAGGAATTGATTACAGTGGGACTGTCCAGAGTTGAGTGTTCACACTGCCAGATTACAAAGTGTAATCAAATACTGGACTTTTCAGCTCCTTCCAGCATAAGTCTTCGAAAAAGGCAGCTGTTTAATTAGATGAAGAAACGGACTGTAAAGTCCAGTATTTTAACGCCCCTGATATACAGTAGATGAAACGATCTGCTTCAGTTCAGACTTGGCTCCGCCGAGAATTAATCCATTTAACCAGCGGCGCTAATGGTTCCAGGGCAAATTTTGTTGATCATAATTAACTAAATCTATTTACTTAAATCTGTGTACATGTGTGGCTAAATTGTGTCTGTTGACATCCTATCTCGGTGCCTCCTGCCTGGGTCTCGCTGAGAAATGCCAAAGAGCTTGTAAGAGAGCGGTGTATTTTGGCAACAGAGCGTAATAACAATTAGCTTTTTATCATTATTTGAAAAAGCACCCCATCGGACCGTGTGCCACTGTTTTCATATCAAACAATAAAAACTGTATTGACAAAACACAAATAAGACCGCGGAGAAATGGTACAATAAGTTGCCTTAATGGAACTACATTCCTTTATCACTTTAAAAACACCTTTCAGTGAAGGTCCGTGTTACTCCGTACAGCATAAATGTCATGGCATCACCCCAATCATTGCGAGCCGATTTTATGTGCTTCTCATCGGAGAAAATACGTGTTCTGGAAAACAACATGTCAAGAAAGCGCAAGCTTAAAATAAAAATTTCGTTTAATATAAGTATTGGCACACATTTGTAAAAATCAAAGTAGCCTTCACTTCCGAGAATACTTCAGAAGAGTGAGTATTACGTACGTCAACGCTCCAGAAATGCTACCTACAGTAGCTAGAAACTGAATTAATAAATTCAACGGGCAGGTTTCATACCGCCTTGGCAACATATCCTTCAATAACTAGTCTCCGAATTCGTACCGCATAATCAACAAACTTCACGCAATTAAAATAGTTCTTCGACGTTCCTGCTGAAAAATGCCTCGCATGTTCAATTTAGAGAACAGTTCTTGTAAAGTAATGTGAGACCAGCAGGAAATAATGATGATGATGATGATGATGATGATAATAATAAAGCATGCATTCGGACACGCACCTAATAAAGTTGCTAAATTAGAAAAAACAGCCTCACCTGTTAAACGCAGATCATTCAATCCGCAAAGATGCGAGCTTTATCAGTGCGTCTTTTCGGTGCTAGAAAACAGTGATGTAGGCGGTTTTGTCTCGCCAAGTTCCGACACGGGAACACGTTTGTTTGCTGAAAGATTGATCCTCTATTTTTCAGCGACTTCTTTCTCTCTTTCACGCGTGTTGTCCCCGGCACTTGCCAAATTTGGTCAGAGGAAGTGCGCTGCGGGGGGCACCTTGTCTGAAACGGTGACAGGAATATCAGGAATATCGAGACACCTTCCCAGAGACGTTCTTCTTCGCTTCTTCCTGCCTCCTCGGGCTACCTGTAGAGATTCTCCGAGTTCTGCACAAACATGGAGAATCTTTTCCACGTTCCTTAAGACGCCCGTATCACATTACCTCAACATACCCCACCTTTGTAAGAGTTTATAAACTGGAAAAAGGAGAAAAGTGAAGACGGCACCAGTATCTACAGAAACTGACGCTGCTAGATGGACGGGGGGGTATCACTTATGTGTTTCTTTCCTAATGAGTCATCTTAATTAACACCTTCAATGTTAAAACAAGAACGTAGCGTAATTAATTTGCAATTCTTTTTCAACTAAGAACTGTTACGATCTGGTTACGCATATGCACACTGTTACCTCAATTAAGATCTCAATTAGGTAACAAAGAGCTCTTCTGAAATAAATACAAGGAGACTCAGGATTAGTCTGCAAGCAATTTTAAACGACCCGTTTATAAAGTGAGTGATAATGAAAAAAAGAGACAGTGAATTAGTTTTCTTCAGAAAAATGAGCACAGTTGTGACAAGCAAAAGTGACTTCTTAGACCACAGCAACAACAGCTTCAGGACCGCAGCAACAGCATCAGAACCATGAAGAACAGCAACAGGATCACAATCACAACAACAACATCAGGGCCGCAGAAACAGCATCAGAACCACAACAACAGCATCAGGACTACAGCAACAGCATCACGGTTATAACAATAGCATCAGAACAATGAAGAACAGCAACAGGAGAACCACAGCAACAGCATCACGACCCAAGCAACAGCATCAGAACAACGAAGAACAGCAACAGGAGAACCACAGAAACAGCATTAGGACCAC